TAAAATGTCTCTGGTATATAGTTGCTCATTATTATTATTTTCTCCCCTGGTCTTTTATACTCCTGCAATGAGTGACCGTCCGGTATTTTCCCTTTTCTTTCTGGCTTATTTCACTAAGCATGATCCCTTCCAGCTCCATTCATGTTGCTGCAAAAGGCATGTGTTTTGTTTTTGGGTTTTTTTTTTTTTTGGTTGCTGAGTAATATTCCATCTTTTTAACCCAGTCATCTACTTTTGGGCATTTGGGTTGATTCTATGTCTGTCCTATTGTAAATAAAGTAGCAATAAGCATGGCAGTGCAGGTGTCTTTTTGAATCAGTGTTTTTGTGTCTTTTGGGTAGATACCTAGGAGTGGGATTGCTGGGTCCTATGGAAGCTCTATGTTTAGCAATTTGAGAAACCTTCCAACAGCTTTCCACAGTGGTTATACCAGTTTGCATTCCCACCAGGCTGCAGAGTTTTAAGAAGGCAGTACAGGCACTACAACACCTTAGCCTAGTCCGGGGAGTTACACAGCATCCCTCGGGTTTCATTCTCTTGGTCAAAGCAACTCACACGGCCCTTACAGAACAAAAGGTAGAAGATTGAACCCTGTTTTTTTACAAGGAGGGCTGCAGAGAATTTTTGGCCATTTTTAAATATACCATAAAAATTTTCTGTAGACATTAGCTCACATAATCCCCACAACTCTATGGTAGGTTTCATTCTTTTTCCCAAATTCAGTAGATGAGGCAAAACAGAGAGTTCAGTAACAACTCAAGTTCGCACATGACAAGTGCTTTGAAAATGCCTTGAAAGTTCTCTCTTCTTTTGAAGCTTTATTTGATTACTTAAGCATACTAGAACTGGGGTACAGGCCAGAGGTGTGGTGAGTGAGAGGATTCACCAGACAGAGTGGGGAGCAGAACAGAGGGATTGACTGAAATGCAGTGCTGAGGGGAGTAGCAGGAGAGACAGGGGAGGTCTGCTGGGCATTGTGGGTCAGCTCCCTGGCCAGGGATCGAACTCAGATCGCAGTGGCTGGTGATAGCTTAGAAGCACCAGCACTTAACCCTTGCACCATCAGAGGAGGCTCTGAAAATTCTCATTTATTTAAAATCTTGCTGCCACTGTTAGGATCAACCTGTTTCCTCCCTGAGCTTGTGGAGAAAGGCTCTCTTACTGCTGTGTGGCTGCAGGGCATTGGAAGCTTCCTATGTGCTACACCACTGCACCAACAAACTAGTGTGAAGCTTAGGGTCTTATTCTCAGTATTTACATGAGGAAACTGAGGCTCACGATGGAAGTGAATACAGATCATTCACGAGAAAAGCATCATCACTTTTCACATGCAAAAGTGGTCTCCCTGTGTAAACGATCAATGTCTCGATGCAGGTTTTTTTTTCCATTTACCTTGCTTGCATCCAGGAAAAAAATTTTTTTTTAAATTGTATACTTATTCTGAGACCAGAATTCCTCACCTCAGTCCCCTTAGCCAATAAAAGGAACAATGTTTGAGGACAAGGAAAGTGGGTTTATTAATTTGTTGACAGAGGAGGGCAGCAAACAGAGTCTGAAACACTGTGTTTTCACTCACTGCAGAGGGCAGGGGTCTTAAACTAGAGTTACAAGGAGAGGATTGAAGGATGTAGGCCAGAGTCAGCACGCCTGTTCTTGCAACATAAGCGTTGGGTGACTTGCTGCCACCAGCTTGTTTTTGTCAGCACCTGTTGGTAATTCTGACACTACCTTTCCAAGTTTCCATCCTTGGCCCTCAGAGTGCAAGGAAAAGAAAAGCAGGAAGTTAGTAAATCATATAACTCAGAGTTTATTGCACTTATAGGGCAAGGGAATGTCTCTCTCCAAGGCAGGGAGGGGTGTATTTCATTGCTGTATTAACTTGTCAGTGGCAAGTGGCACATTTCAGAAAAGTTGCTGGAATAGTAAACATGTTTTTCAGATGTCCAGTGGCTCCCCAGAATAGAAGCAAGATGAATATTCCATTCCGCATTGGAAACGCCAAAGGAGATGATGCTTTAGAGAAAAGATTTCTTGACAAAGCTCTTGAACTCAATATGATCTCCTTGAAAGGGCACAGGTGAGTATACCTTCATTCTAGAGAATTGGTTTAGTTTTCCACATTCAGAATGAAACAGACCTAGGAGCCTACCCACCTTGGAATAGCAGTTAACGGGAAGTAGGGGCTGTGGAACAGCTGTTACAGGGGCAAGTCTTCCCTTGAGGCTTACAGAATCCTGAGTGTCCCTCCCTGGCAGGAAGCATAGCAGAGTCACATCTCCCCAGGGGCTTTGTCAAAATGACCTGGAAAATTTCAGACTTCTCACAGAGGTTGCCCTCTCATGTCTGATGAGGCTGTCCAGCCCTGTTGTGGTATAATAGAGCTCTGCTGCTCCACCTTAGTGTCAGAATAGTTACTCCTGCTCACTCTGTGAGAGTCACACATCCTCACACATGAGTAGGAACAATGACACCCCTGCCTGCAGGGGCAGCCAGCTCCCTGCTTGGTGGGCTCATGAGTGCTGTGGTGAATATAATCACTCAGTTCATTTAATTTAGCTTACTTAGTTTGGGCTTGCTTATGTGGCTGCTCTGTTTTAAGAAGCCAGGCATAGAAACTGCATCTACCTGAATGGCTGAATTAATCTGTTATGTTGTGATGCATCTGGGAGAATTTTCTAATCACTGGGATAAATAATCCTGGTCACCTGTGGGGGCCTTCAGGGAGGTCAGACATGTGGCTTCAAGTGCTGTGCGGGGGGTGGGGGGTGGGGGGATTGTGTGGATGTTTGGAGAGAGGGTCATCTTCATACTAAGTTAGCTGCCTCTGTTCTCCATGTCTGCATCTTTGGCTATTCTAGGTCTGTGGGAGGCATCCGGGCTTCTCTGTATAATGCTGTCACCATTGAAGATGTCCAGAAGCTGGCAGCCTTCATGAAGAATTTTTTGGAGATGCATCAGCTATGAACCCATGTCAACCAATATAGTGTCCTTAAAATTTGAAGTAACTTGGGAAAGGCTAAAGAACTTAAACACTTCTCTTTTCCTCAAATGAAAATACTTATTATAGATTCTTCTTCCTTTTTTAAGTAACAACAGCAAAACATCCAGAGCTTTGTTAAGCTGCTGAGACATAATGACCATCCTAATACTGACTTGAACTGGAAGCATTGAAAAAAATTCTCTTTTAGCTTTTCTAACATATTTCTGCTTATTTTGTCTTTGCTCCTACTTCTTCTGGCTAGTTTCAGTATTCAGACATGCTCAGTGTGGACTTCATTCTGCAAATTTTGGTTAATTGTTTTGGAGACTTGACCACAGGGCTTGGAGGGTGGATGGGGAGGGTCGTCTAGGTGCTGAATCTTGAGCCTTTCTAAAATGATAGCAGGGGGTGTTGCCACCAGGTGTTAATTCAAGTCAGTGCTTACCATAAGTTTTTAGGGGTTCCAAGCTAAAGGCAAACTATAGATCTTGATATGTATTCTCATAAAGAAAAAAAAGTGATTTATGTTTCAATAGCAGGTCTATTTTTAATACTGTATAGTTTATATCTCTATGCATTTATATGTCTAATACGGTTCTCAGTGATATATATAGAGACTTTGAGAATTTGTAGAGTCCTTGACCTGGTGCATTATACTTATAACAGTTATGTTCTTTCTCCCCCACCTCCCTTCTTTTTTAAGCTGCTTCACAACATTTAGAAATCCTCCAATTTACTTTCAGTGTGTAGAACAGAAGGCTGTTTGCTTAGTTGGTATTTTATCTTGAATTATGCTGCTAAACAAAAATCTTTGTTAAACTCCTTTATCTTTTGTTCACTTGTAAGTTCTCTTTAGTATTTGACCAGCGATGCTGTGAGTTCCAGATCTTTGCTGAAAATCTTTCCCCCTGTTTATCTGTTGTCAGTATTTTATGTTGAATATGTAAAATACATTAAAGTCTAAAACATCTAAATTGTCAATGAATTTCTTTACCTCTTTTTAGACAGATTGTTTTTATTTGAACTTTATGATGGGAAGATTTGAATCTAAAAATAGCACTTGATAGGAATAATTCAATCAAAGATGTGTGAGATTTGAATTCTGTGCATCCGTTTTTTAAAATGATTCATTGCCCTGTGGTTATTTTCCCTTAGCTTTTGGAAAGGATGTTATCAGTAAACCTTTCAAACAAAACTCATGGTATAAAGTTCTCTGAGCTTTCCCCCACTTATGGAAATGTGCCAGAAGGACAGTTCTGAGCTATCTTCATGTTTCATCAGTTTGTATAATGAAGTCTGTCCTGTCCTCTTAAACCAGTTCTACCACTTCGTTTGATTAGTCGGTTTCTCCTAATGGGACTAGACCTCTCCAGTCTTGGTTCGCTGATCTGTAAAAAGGATTGAGGTAACTCTGCCACTTATCTCAGGCATGTTTAAGAGTTTATAACAAGGGCCCAATGCAGATGAGAACAATAAATACAAGAAACAATTAAATAACCAAAGCCACCTATTTTGTGTCATAGAGTCAAACTGAGTAATTTGTATACAGTGGTGCTTAGAGGCAGGGTCAGCCTTCTTCCCTCCCTCATCCATGTGATGGCTGCCAACCCTGTGGTTTGTCTCAGCCCCAAATCTTTATGGTCTCCACTTATTTCTAGTCCTATTGCAATGACAGCTCTGTTCTCGCTTTCGGGGGGATTTCAGCAGCTTTCTCTCTGCTCTCACCTAATCCAGCCAGATGCAGTTGGACTGTTACTTCCTCTTGTGTCTTTGACGTGTACGATTGGGGCTTCTCAACCAGTAATGAGCTTTGTAGCATCAGCATGACCTCTTATGGCTCTGGGATGTGGCGTGCATTTGCCCATGTTAGGCCAAATAAGCCTTGAGTTCTTGTTGACAGACCACCTTTTTCAAGATAACTGTTAATCTAACCTTGTTTGTGTCTCTTCTGGGGGACACTGCTCTTTCCCTTTTCATTCCTATAAAGTACCTCCTTTCTGTTCTTCACTGTATTGGTGTGGCTTCCCTACCTTCCCCTCTAGATCAGTGGCAGGAACCCTGTTCCTCTACCTCCAGCACCTGGCATCTTGCCTTGTCTTTAGAGTGGGCTCAGTGGCGATCTGCTTAATGAATGGCAAGTCTGGCTATGGGTCAAGTTGGTCCTCCTGAAGTTGGCACCTGAGCCTGGTGGAAATGCAGTTATAATCTCACATACATAGATTTTTAAAAATTTCAGTTTAGTATGCAATCCAATTTCATTTCATACTAAAATAATCAACTATGACTCACTCTTTGATTTCATGGGGAAATTTAAATCATGGAGGGTCCTGGGCTTATTCTTAAAATCTGTGAAAGCTTGTGGAAATAGTCAGCTAGTGCATTTGTGCTGGCCACAGGGAGGTTCTGGACTTAGGTTGCCGGAAGACACGAATGTAAACCTTGATCTTTGTCTCAACTGATGGTAATCTGCTGACCAGGTGGAGAGGGATGAAGGAGAGCTAAGGATGCAGGACCCTGGGTCAGCAGACTGAGGAGCCAGAACTGACTGCCCTTTCCTTCAAGATGAAAAACTAAGTAGGTATGTCTTTTGGGCCTTGGGGAATTTCTGTGTGTTGGGGGTGAGGAGTGTGGATGGTGGCAGTAATGGCCTCATTTTCCTTGGAATCCTCCAACTTGTATTTCTTCCCCCAAGCTGAATTTGAAGTTTTCTTTTTCTCCTTCAGTGTTCTTGGCAACACATAACTATTCGAATGCCACCAAAGTGAGAAAAAACAAATTTGTTCCCGTGTTCCTCATGTTTACCTCCACACATGGCTTCATCTCCTACACTGCGGTCTGTTCTTTGTCTGCACAAGAAAGAAAATTGTGTTCTGTCCCTAACTTTTCATTTCTCTGCTAGTCTGTGTTTATCTAAATACCGAATGTTGTCTCCTCACAACTTAGCTGATATTGGAAGGTTTGGCAAGCCCTTAGGTGAAATAAGTGAGGTAACAAATAATTATTCCCATCTCCCCTTTTTAGAGCAGAAGGAGCCACTAAGTCCTATAAAATGGACAAGATTATTGACAGATTAGATGTCCAGTTCTGCTGAAGGCCTTAACAGGTCTGGCCTTGTTTCACACCATGATTAATGTTTTTTTGTATCATGTTCTTTGGAAGGAAAATAAAATGAAGAATTTTCTCACATTTGATAGGAATGAACATAATTAAAAAGTGAAATGCTACTGGGTCTGCAAAGAAATCAATCACTTTAATTGGAAAGAAGTTTCCTTGCTTCTGTTGGTAATTGGACTCTTGGTAATTTAAAATTGGAATCCATGACAGCTTGTGATAAATTGGCTCCTTTTGGGCTAAAGAAGGTAAGAAGTTCTAATTACCCCTGGATTATTCTAGAATGGATGGAAAGACTTGATCAAAGAGATATTGGGAGAAAGATAGAAAAGCTAGTGGTGAGCAAAGATTTATTGAATTTCTTTTTAAGAAGCTACAGAATAAATAGTTCATTTGATGTGACAACAACAAGAGCTGTGTTATTTGAAATCCTGGAGATGTAAATTGGATTTTCTAAGAAAGTAAGGAACTGAGCAGATTTGAAAAGTTTATGCACTGGAAAGTTCTATAGTTAGGTTAGAAAATTAGCTTTGCTGACTTGTAGAGCAGGAAGATATTGACAAACTTGGGTTTCATTGGGAGAAAATAGGGAATTTGTACTTTGAGTGCTTAAACATACAAGTAATCTTCACTAAATTTAAGGCACTCCAAAATGTTTTATTTAAGTGAGAATGTAAGTTAGAAAGATAGAAGGATCCTACTTAGTGACTTTGTTGACCCCTATCCCCATTGATACCCTAGCATTTGTTTCTATACATTTATTGCCTAAAAATACTTGAGGAATAGGCTGGGTTTTAGGTTGATATGCTAGTTTATAAACCTGTTTCCGGCTGGGTGTGCTTATTTAATATATTTATAGATTGTAGGTATAAATGTAACTTCAAATTGGAGAAAAGATGCAAGATGTATACAAAGAACTCGTGTCTAGGCTTTACCTAGATTCAGCAATTACAGTATTTAGCTTTATTTGGGCATTCATTGTCTTTCCATATACACATATTCCCCCCACCCAAACTATTTATGGGTGAGTTGGAGAGATTGTATCCATAACAGGCCAGAGGTACAGGGGTGAGAGATTTACAAGAGACAAGAGTGGGGAGCAGAACAGGCAGATCCACTGAAATACACTGCTGAGGGGAGCAGCAGGCAGGTCAGGAGAGGTCTGCTGCGTCATGTGAGTCAGCTCCCCAGCCCAGGATCAAACTTGCACTGCAATGGCTACACACAACTCCACAGCATTGCACTTTAACCTGTTGTGCCACCAGGGAGGGCCTCTCCAAATAAACTCTTGTATTTAAAAAAGTTAAAAACCTGCCACCTAGGTGAGAAATGTTCAGAGCTTCCAATTTTACAGTATTTAGCTTTGTCTCTCTATATACACGTATTTCCCTCGCCACTAAAGTATTTATGGGTGAATTGGAGAGACTGTACACTTTACCTCTGAGTTCCTAAGAATAAGTCTCTCACATAACCATAGCACCATGATCTAAATCACAAACGTAAATACTGTTGACTTATCTCTATACAGTCCAGATTTCCCCATTTATTCCAGATTATTCTTCACAATTTTGTCTTTCCTCAGTCCAGGAACCAGTTCACAATCATGCATAGTTCTCATGTCTTTTATAGTCTAAATATGAAATGGCTCTTTACCTTTTTTGTTCTTCCCATCCCCTGCAGTTTGCAGATTATAGGTCAGTTGTGTGGAACACCCCCATTTCCTTGTGATTAAGTTATGTGCTTTTGGTAGGGGCTGCACAGAAGTGACTGTGTGTCCCTCAGGTGCATTGCAACGGGAGGCTCCCATTGTCATCTGTCTCACTGGTTAAGGTGGTGTCTGTGAGGTTGCTCCATGGTCAAGTTACTATTTGCCCCTTTGTAGTTGATAAGTACTTTGTGAAGAGTTATTCCCAGGCTCTGAAAGTAATTGTTCATCATCAAATATTTGAATTGCAAATCTGTTCCATAAAAAGATACTACAAGTGGATTTATTTGATGGAAAAGGTGAGGTGATTTATTCTTTATTTCCACCAGTAATTTTATAATCTTACTCTTCCCTACCACCCGAGGGGAAAGAAACCCCTAGAATATAAACAAAGATGTATACAAATGTACATCAGGACATGAAAAGCTAGGAACCCTGAGAGCAGCAGATATACTTTGAGACTGTGAACAGGCATGCAAAGGGCCAGAAAGGGGTAAAGAATTCTTCGATTAGGTTATAGGGGCCAAATTGCACAATGTCCCCTGTTCAGTCAAGTTTGTTTTTCAACATCTTTTTATTTTTTTTTTTTAAAGATTTACCCACTTCTATGCAACTAAGAGCTGGGGTACAGGCCAGAGGCACAGGAGGGTGAGAGGACTCCCCAGAGTCAGAGTGGGGAACAGAACAGGCCGACTGACTGAAATATAATCCTTAGGGGAGGGGAGCAGTGTAAAGACAGGAGAGGTTCGCCAGGCCATGTGGATCACCTCCCCGGCTGATCCAACTCCCACTGCAGTGGCTGCAGACAGGCTCACAGTGCTGCACCTTAACTCATTGAGCCACCAGGGAGGGCCCTTTTCAACATCTTTTAAAGAACAACGCTTTGGCAACACAGATCTATCATAGTGACTGATTATGAATATGGAGCACACAACCTGATTATAGTTCAAAAGATGTCATCTAACAAGCTGAAGTTAAAGTGGCTTCTAATCACTCTAGTCCAGCAGAATAGAGAGCCTAAGAGGAAGATAAAATTTTGGCTTCCATCTAGACAGGTAAAATGCCGAAGACATCTTAAATGTCCCAGAAGTGAAATTGAAGGTTGAGATGTAAGAAGGCCATTTAGGAAGGAAAAAAAATAGCAAAAA